TTCAACGGGCATCCTGTCTAAAAGGGTAAAAGAACACTATCCAGCGTGGCTACAGAAAGGAAATAATGGCCATATAAGGAGTGCAATAATCGAACATCTCGTCAATACTGGTCATTCCATCTCAACGAACGCCTCCTTCAAAATAATCTACAAAGTGAAGAACAACCTTCCAAAGACAGTACGATTCCGTCTTCTTTGCATCGCAGAAGCCCTAGCCATCCAGTTAGAGGAACCAGAACTATGCATACAAAAGAAAATTATCCAACCACTTCTACTCGCATGGTAACTACTCCTTTGATTTGACCAAACTTTTCTTTGTTTGTTTGATTTGACCCTACTTCTGTTTGTATGCTTATTTTTCTAACTTAAAACCCTTGTGTAATTCTGTATATTTCATACAACCGGTTCCCTTTATTAGTTTGAAGAGAGAAAGAACGAACATGTTTGCAGAATAATACGAGCTCGTTTTATTTCGTGGATACTCATCAACTGCATACATCCTAAACAAAATCAAATTTTAAGTTTCAAAAAAGTTTTGGAACATACTTTTTCATAATTACTTGGAGTTATAAATAGAAGGTATAAGAAACATAATTCCGGAATTTGATGTAGGTAGACAGATTATTCAGTGTCAAAAAAACTAATTATATATAGTGGAATTAGATAAGAGGGTTTAGAGTTCAGATTACTATTGGGAAACGCAGATTGGTTAGAGGCATATTATAGGGTCAAGGTCAGAGAACAGAGTGAATTTACACATGTGGTGGAGAGTTTAAGAGGGTGGGGGTGAATAGTGAAGTAAAATAAGTAACAAAAAACAAAAATAAAATAGGATTAGGGTTACCAGGGTAGTGAAAGATTAGTCACACTATCTTTCTGTGTACAGAGGTCTGGTCGAAGTCTCTTGATAGCGATGGCTTCTGCGAAACGAAGTAGCCATGGGTTTCTTTGCGTATTGATTATTTTGAAGGCATGGCTGATTTCTACTGTGTGTCCTGTGTCAATTAAATGTCTGGCGATTGCACTCGATAACACTTTTCTTCCTTTTGTATGGAGGCTCTTAGGAATGTGCTCAGAAAATCTAGTAGATGCTCTCCTCTCAGTCCTTCCTATGTACTTGCTTCCGCAGGTGCACGTGAATTGGTAAATGCAGTTGGAGTTGACGTGAGTAGGGTACTCATCTACTTTTGACTGGGTTAATGAGCACACAGTGTTGTGAAATAGGATCAGTCTGGCAGCTGGAAATGTTCTTTTTAATGCACTTGAGATTCTTTTTTGTGTTCTTGTGGATACGTCTTCACCTTTGTAGGCTAGGCAGATGAAAACTGGTTTCTTTTCAACGGTGTCGGGTTTCGGTTTGTGGGTTTCTTCATTTCTATACTTTAATATGAACTTTCGGGGATATCCATTCTCGATGAGGTTCTTTTCGATGACGGCAAGTTCTTCTTCAATAGTGTCTTCCGAACATATTTCTTTGGCTCTGCTGAAGAGCGTTTTTACTAGACCTCGTTTGTAGCTGGTTGGGCAAAAGCTGTGATAATTTAAGTATTGACCAGTCCAGGTTTCTTTCCTGTAGATAGATTTTTGAATCGTCCCGTCGTTTCTTCTTTTTATGTTGACATCAAGGAAATGGAATTGGTTGTTTTTTTCGTAGTCGATTGTGAATGCAATATTGGGATGAGCTGCATTGAGTTTCTCAAACATTGCGAACGCGTGTTCTATATCATTGCAGACTACGAACGTGTCGTCGACATATCTGCAGTAATAGGTGGTTCTTTCTATTTCTTTTTTCATTCGAGTCTGTTCAAGATGAGCCATGAATATGTCAGCAAGAACAGGACCCAAAGGTGAACCCATAGCCACCCCGTCAATCTGCCGGTACAGCTGATTGTTGAATCGGAATTGAATATTCTTTGTACATAGAAGTAGCAATTTTCGTAGCTCGTTTTCTGGAAGAGGAAGTAGTTCGGACTGTTGGCATATGATTTTAACCGTTTCTTCGATGGGTATGTTGGTAAACAGTGAACAAACGTCGTATGACACGAGAAGTCTATCCGAAATATCGAGTTGATCTAATTCTTGTGAAAACTGAAAAGAATCTTTGATACTGTGAGTTGCCAGCTTTTTTCGAATGGGTTCCAGCTTTTGGGCCAACCATCTGGCCAGTTTGTGACATGGTGATTTCACCATTGATATTATAGGTCTCATTGGTACATCACTTTTGTGAACTTTGGGTTGACCGTACATGAATGGCACACGCGAACCCCTTGGTTTAAGGTCGTTGTGTATTATTATTTTGTTTCCATGTACACCCTTTGAGCACAACTCATTCATCAAACTATTCATGCCATTACGTAACTCTTATTTAACAATCGTTTTTGACAACTCATCACTTTTGTTGCTATCCTCTTATCAACAACCATTTCATCTGAACTTACTAATTGTATTTTCGTTTAACAAATTTAATGTATACACACACACAAAATAACCATATATATTTGCGATTGTACAGCTATGAAAATGAATTCGCCGAAAAGAGACTCTTCGCTGAACTACTTGTCTTCTGTCTACAAATTGAAATTGCACATCCATGGTACACATAAGCATCTCAAATAAACTCAGTGAATCTAATGATTCTGAACTGTATAAAACAGAAGAAATAGACAAAGCGTAGTGAAGATGTTCAGAATTTCACTGATCAGACTAAGAATATCTGTTCTATAGTTCATGATTTTGACTCATAATAGCAGCAGTAAACATTTAAAAGTACATCTTATCATGTACTCGTCTCAGTACAAAAACCATTGAAAAAAAAGAAGTATCGTACAGCTTTGTCATCACTCCTATGGATTCTAGCAAGTGTGCAGAAATAATGACTTGTTAATTCTCGAGGTTTAGTTGTTTAGTTACTTTAACGCCATCTTAACTCAGTGTCAACGCGAAGTAATAACTTTGTGTTTAAATCGCTCATGAAGTGGGACTGTAACATTTCACATTCAATTAAATCTTCAACCAACCAAATTTACAAATTTCAAAGGAAATAAAATTTCATCCCTTTAGGAAACTGGAAATATTCAGATTTCACTCATACTTGTTTTCATGGCTGGTATATTTATACTGTGGTGAGAGCAGGCTGCTAGCCAAATTGGTAGGCATTAATTTACGTCTATGTTTGTGTCGCTAATATTGGTCATGAGAAGAATATGAGCAAGACTGATTCAACAACCAATCGCAGCAGACTTTGCATAGGCTGATACAGTTGACATATAGATGACCTAACATTCAAGAAACAACCACAAAGAAATGCAAGGTCAAATTTCGGTGAGAAAGAACCATTCAGAAGACTGTGTTGTTTGCCTAAATAAGCTATAATAATGTACATGAATAATATATATATTTATATATATATATATATATATATATATATATATATATATATATATATATACGTGTTGATTTCCTTAATAAAGGATCTGTTGCCTGACTCTTGCCTTCTGTTGTTACAATACTACTGATTGACTGGTATGAGTAGCTGACAGCCGGTAACATCAAAAATCAGTTCAATTTAACATGAACACATCATAAGGCTGTTTCGCTCCTCCAGAACTGATCTCATCATCTCGTTTGTAGGGATATGGTTGACTGGTTACAGGATGTCATCATGAGCTGACATTAGTTAGAGAATCATTGTAAAACCTGGGAGTATTGGACAGCTGTTTCGTCCTGTTTTGCGACTCTTCATCAGTACGGACCCACCGGGGTTCAAACCCAGGACCTTCTGGTTACAAGGTGAGCTCGTAGACCATTAAGCCACTGGAACCCGGTCCAATGGCCGATGATTTCCAAATTCTGCCAATTCACGATAATAGCGCAACCGCTAACCAATGTCTTCGGCGAGTATTTGTCCTCACGCCCGACCTGCAGCACCCTACTGGTCACGACTTCTTACTAGAACCTCAGGTAACTACTTACCTGGATATGGCCAATCGTCAGTGAGCACGTCATGGATATTCATGTATTGGTTTGTAGGGATTTGGTTTATTGGTTACAGGATTTCATCATGATTCCTCACCTTTAAGCGTATACTTTACGAATGATGACTCTACTTCGTGCAAGTAGCCGGTCTGAATTCGGGTGGTTTCAACTGATTCGTCCATCTAAACTGAATTAAAATGTGTACACTGTTCTCCGGTGTTTAGGTCACTTGTACCTGGTTAGAAGGCAATCTGTTTTGACGTGTATCAAGAAATCAGCCAATCAGGAGTATGTACAGCAATAGTAGTGAGTAGATACCACAGTAAAATGACCTTGAACCGGCCAATCACGTCCTTCCAGGCAAAATGTATGTTTACTGGATATATACTGCTAGCATATTGAAAAGGAGGGGGGTCTCAATTATCCATAGGAGTGGGTGGGCATAGTAAATAAACCACTATCTGTATGAGTACCAGTAAGGTTTGCTTTACTCTGCCCATCAATAGATAAATAGCTTCCTAACTCTGATTTCAACGCACTATTCAATGCACGATTATATGACCACACATACACACATACACGGAAAAGACAACACTGTACATTAGAGTGATATTTATTCATAATGAAATAAGGAGAGCAAATTAATAAGGAAAATAAAGAAACTGAATGAAGGAGAAAGAGAATTCTGATCTTTAAATTTTTTCAAATACGAAACGAAATAATGATGAAAAAGAACTAAAAAAAGAAACGATTCAAGAAAGCATATATATGTATATGAATAGAGTGTATACCAAGTTTCATGATAATTTAAAAGAATTGGTTACTAACTGATATTACAAACTTGAAAAGTTATATTAATCAGAAAAGAAACCGGAAATAAGGAGAAATAAGAGGAGCGGAAGATGATGCGGGTGAGGGAGAAGAGATGGGGACAAATACACACCAAATTCAACTGGGTATACTATGTAAAGTCAAAGAGAAAATGGCACGAGGAAGTATGGATGGTTTTCGTTTTATTATATATATATATATATATATATATATATATCAACATGGTACACATCGCTTCCTGTCAAATTGATGTTGATTTCTATGTGCAAATGAGAACTTTGCTTTTCAGCTAGCTCAATATTAGCAACAACAAAATAGCCAAAAGTAGTGTGAAGTCAATAAATCATATTTACAAAATACGATGGGAAAATTGAAAAAAAAACAAAGCAGAAATCATTGGCATGAAATCGAAATCAGAAAATAAGACCAGAAGCCATCACAGTTAAAAATAAACACTGTATACAAGTTAGTATGCAAAACCAAGTGGAATATATATATTCTCCCATTGCACAAGAACAATGCATACAAACATGTACGCACACGCATACAAGTGACAGACGAATGGTTTTATTCTGTGACTGCAAGTGGCTTCACGAACATACACATAAACGCACACACACACGTACATACATGCATCCAATTGTATTTGATTCTACAAAGTTAATTTAATAAGACGATTGATTGTTAGTGAGATCATCCGTTGTAACAGGAGGCAGTACAGCGGCTAGATATCTACCAATATTAATTGGATCTTCACAAGGATTTGTCTCATTATTATCTCCACTTTGTTGAATATCTATAGTTGTACTCTGTCGTTGAACATTACCTGATGGACAGGCTCCAGCTGCTGTGACAACAAATTTATGCCTTAAAAGGTTATCTAATGATGGACGATCACTAGCTGGTCGTTGAAGGCATGAATCAACTAAGTCGATAAAATCATCAGAGAAACAAAATCGAGGTAAACGTGGCGGTGGTTGATCAACAATATAGGATAATAATTCAAATATTGCCATTGGACCAGAACTTGGACTATTCACAGCTATACCAAAAATAAAAAGGAAAATAGATTATTCAAGAGTTACTCTATATGGATTTATTTTTGTTTCATGTTTGACCATGAAGTGATATCAATTAGAGAAGCATTAAAAATAAGCCAGGAGTAGTACTGGACAACTGTTTCGCCCTAGTTTGGGACACACCGGCAGTGCCCATCCCCACCAGGGTTCGAACGCAGGACCTTCCAGTTACACGTCAAGCACATAGACGATTCAGTCACTGGCACCCAACTCAACCCATTGCCCAACCCATTAATTTTAGCTTCTGCCAATTCGCGATTTTAGCGCGATCACCAGCCAATATCATCGGCCAGTATATCTGTCCTCATAGACAACCAGATGACCCCCACTAGTCACGACTTTTCATTAGAATTCCAAGCAACGTTTTACAATAGCTAGTCACTAGCGAACACCCGTTCGGGTTTAGGACAAATAGACGTCACGGATGACAATGACTGGTCGTCTAGCTAGAATCACACGCTGGTAGAAGTTGGGATTCATGGGTTACTGAATCGGGTCCCAACAACTCAATGGTCTACGAGTCCGAGTTGTAACCGAAAGGCCCAGCGTTTGAACCCAAGTCGGTGCGTAGTGCCAAAGAGTCCAAAACTAGGACGAAACAGTTGCCTGGGACTTCTTCCTGGTTCGCAATGGTTCTCTAACTACTGACATCAATCCGAGATGAAACTAGTAACAAATAAATTATTACGAAAATACTTATTTCTTGGCACTTACACTATAAACAAAAAAATTAGAATGTAATAAATTCATATTCCGCAAACCACGAAAATTCCGGCCTCCTGTAGTCGATGTTAATGTCTCTTTTTGCAAAAACTCTACCTCCACGAAGATCATAAATGGCCTGTCTTTCACAGTCCACCCAACAAGAAAGACAGTCGAACAAAGCCAAGACTTTTCTCCTCTAGATACTGAAGGTGCGCACGGATAGAGAGAAGCAGCCATCCAAACACTTACACATAAGAGCACACAGTTTTTTTTATTCGTCAGTCACTCTCCAAATACTTCACCTTTTTGTTTAACTTTGCAAACATTCTCTTCAACTATCCTTTTAGCCCAATGATAACGTCAGCGATTCAGTTGTACAAAGCTCACAAACCACAAACATGAGCCCGGTTTGAGTACCGACCAACACAATTTGCTTAACTTCAGAAAGCGAGTGGTCAACCTTGGAAAAAAAGTTAAAGATGAATCACCACCGCTATTGAGACTTCATAGCTTAAATCCCTAGGTTCCATTAGAAAATCGCGGAATGACCATTATTAGAAAAATAAGCCGAATAATCACATCTTTCTCTCTCTCTCTATCTATCCATCTATCTAAAAATCAGGTTTTCAACTACATTGATATACGAATAGAAATTGAGCACTGTGGTAGAGAATAATTCCATTATGGGTAAAAAATTTTCATCCAAATTTTTATTTTTATCAACACTTTATCTAAATAAAATTTTACCCATAATCGATGGAATTTTCAACCACATATTGAAGCTTTCGATGTTTTAATCTTAAGTCACATTGGAAAACACGCTGCAGTAGTAGTCGAAAGTTTGTCTATCGATATGTTTTATGCCTTTCAGACATGTATATAAGACACAATTGCAAACATTCACTTAGCAGCACCTTGCTAATTGATATATCTATTAAAATTCAACATATGACTCTTTCAGAACATTGTTTGTACAGTCCTTGTAAACTTCCTAGACTTTAGAACACTGAAATTACCACTGTTTAGAGTTCTAGTTAGTAGTTGTCGGTGTGCTATCCAGTAAAAAGGGACCCTGTAGAACATATCAAACCTTAATAGCTGTCGATGTCTTATACTTGATCGCCACTCATAGATCAATGTAATGTAGTGTCCACTTATGGTAAAATAAGTCAACCTGATATGTTAGTCGAAGTAAGATTAGATTGCAAGAAGGTGAATGGTTGACAGATAAAAGCGTTGGCTAAGGAATGCAATTTGTCTGTGTGACTCTCAAATCTGTTTAACAATCAGAGTAGAATGAATAATTCTCACTTAGTCTGCATAATTATTTAAAATAACACATTTCTTTTAATGCCTCATCCATCATTTATTATTGAAGTACTTTACAAGTGTTCTTCACAAGACATTCACCTTCTAAGAATTGGAATATAATTCGCAGATTTTATATTTTAACAACTTGAACTAATGAACTCAGTTGAGGAGCAGAAATTCCACCTCTGAATAGCTAAGTTATTATTATTGTTTCCTTTAGTTCCTAGAAGAATATAGGGCTTCAGACACACGTCTCCATTGCGTTCGGTTGTCTGACAACGTTTCCACCTGGCTACACGTCTGCCTATAAGCTTTCATCTCCTCTTCGCATGACCTTCTCCATGTCACACTTGGACGAACAACTCACCGCTTCCCATTCATGTTTCACTCAAGGGACTGTTTGGTGATGTTACTTGATGATTTTCTCAGAATATGGACAGTCCACCACCATTTCTTCCCGCATATTTGTTGTACAACTGGTTGCTGTTTGGTTCGCTTCCACATATCTCAGTGGCTGATCTTTTCTTCACCACCTCTGTTTTATCTATGTTCACCTGAAGTTCTATATTCTCTGGATGCTTCTTCTGCCAATTTGTTGCGTCTCACTTGCTTGTTTGTTTGTTTGTGGGAAATCAGACATATATCATCGGCGAGGTCCAGATCCTCTACGTTTTCGTGTGGGTACCTTTTAGGTATGCTTCCTTACTGCCCATTGTCTGTCTGTCACATTATCCAGTCTACTGCAATCAAGAAATGAATCATTTCAGATAGCAGAAAGCCAGCTTGTCTTACTCCCACTCCGAAGGATTCCGTGAGTTTCCCGTTGTGGATTACTCGGTATGCAGCATTTTCGTACAACTGTTGGATGCGGTGTATAATTGTTGGCGGCACGCCGTAGTAGCGAAGCAGTTGCCAAACCACCTCTCGATCGACGCTGTCTGCTGAAGGTATTTTAAAAGTCGATGAAGTTGAAGTAGAGAGATGACTGCCATTCCAAGCTCTGTTCAATGATGATTCGTAGTGTTGATCAATGCGTGACTTGTTCCTCCCGAATCCAGCCTGTTCCGGTCATAGTTTTTCATCCAGAGCGTGTTTGATTCTCTACAGGATGATGTGGTCTAGTGCTTTTCTTGGGACAGATAGGAGTATAATGCCGCACCAGTTCTTGTATTGACTCAAGTCTCTTTTCTTTGGCAATTTGAATGCGTAGCCTTTCCTCCTATCCTAAGGTACCTTGCCCTATTTCCACACCTTCTCCAGTAGTCGTGTCATCAAATCCGCTGATTTTTCTGGGTCTATTTTCAATACTTCGGCTGGGATTCCATCTGGTCCTGCTGCTTCTCCAGGTTTTAGCATCTTCATTGACTTCAGGATTTCTCTTTTCGTCGGAGGGATGATGTCCACTGGTAGTTCTGCTTCCGTTGCTGGTATTATTGAGCGCGTTGTAGGTGGCGGTCGATCGAGAATTCCTCTGAAGTGTTCAGCCCAGTGTTTCCTTTGCGCCACCTCTTTGGTGATCAACTCATTGTCATCCTTCACTGGCTTAATTTATGTTGAATTTTTCCCTCATAGGAACCTAGTTGTTTGGTGGAGTGTTGCGAGGTCTCCTTTATCTACACTGCAGCTTGTTTCGATTCACTTTCCATAGCTTCATTATATTTTGTTCTGTCTTCCCTAGCACTCTACTTTACTTTACTCTTTTGTTCAGTGTATTGTAGCTTGCATTCACCTCCTGTTCTTGTTGCTCGTCAATGCACTGGTTAATCTTTTGTTTCACCATCCTTCTGTCTTCTATTAGTCTCCATGTGTCCTTAGTGAGCCACTGTTTGTCCTGTCTCTTCTATCTGCCTAAACTTTCTATGCAAGCTTGACTCCACACCGCTTCCAGGTTATTCCAGTGCTTTTCAGCGTTGGTCTCTTCGCTAGTGTTGACTTGTATCTCCACCTTTTTCCTTATGACTTCAGTGAAGATACCCTTTGTATCCAGATCCTTCAGTTTTTGAGTATTGAACTTGGCTTGTGGTCTATCTACAACTCCCGTTTCTTTGCAAGCTTCTGATTTGATTTGCAGTGTTCCTTGTACGAGATAGTGATCTGAGCCTACGTCTGCTGCTCTTCTTACTTTTGTGTCCAGTGAGCTGCGTCTCCACTTCTTTGAACACCACTGAGATGAAGTCATTTTGATCTTTGTTTGACCCATCTGGTGACACCCATGTAACCTTGTGGATATCTTTGTGTTTGTATACACTGCCACCAATCACTAGTTCATTGAAGGCACAGAACTCAGCGAAGTTTTTCGTTTTCACTCATCTCTCCAAGAGCTTCTCTATCTATGGTGACTTCTCTTCCTGTCTTGTCTGGTCCCAGTTTTGCGTTCATGTCTCCCACTAGGATTTTAATGTCACCGACTGATGTATTGTCCATTGTTGCCTATAGTTGTCTGTAAAACGCTTTTTTCTTTTCGAGGTCTTTGTTGTTTGGGGGTGCACAGCACTGTATAATTGTCACTTTCCTTCCTTTTGAGTTGAATCTGGTGATCATTATTCTGGGTGAGATCGCCTCCCATTGTGTGCGAGCCTTCGTTGCTGTTGGTGACATCATGATAGCCACACCCTCGGTGTGCTCGTCGTTGTCTTCTGGGTGTCCAGAGTAGATCACTGACTCTCCCGTTGACAATTTGGTGAGTCCACTCCCATTTTATCTGCTTTCACAAATTCACAGTATTTGAATACCATCTCGTTTGCAATCTAGGCAGCTTTGAAATTCTCATACATGGTACGGACGTTCCATGTCCCCAAACAGACTTTTTTTGTGTCAGGGTGACCCATCGTGTTGAAGTTTCTGTAATAGCTTTGTTTACAAGGTGGGATTTCTAGCCTCACGCCTGAGTAGGAGGTCGTTACATGAATATATAGTTTACAGAGTAGCTACTGTTTGGGTTGCTCCCCTTAGAATCAAGAAAACAAAGAGTAAAGCAATCAGAACAACAAGAGAGAAAAAAGAAAAAATCCCAACAGGAAAGACAGCGACAACAACAAAAACTGCAACAGGAATATCAATGTCAAAAACAGTTTACAAAAATGATAACAAAACCGCAGACTCACTGACTTGAGCCAACTTAGGCATGTAAATCTGATAATATATACAATTATATATATTAGTTAGTGTAAAACAGTCACAAAATGCCAAAGTTAATTATAGGTATTAATAGTCAACAAGATTATATCCGCAGATCCAGTGTTCGAAGGTCAGCGAATTACAACAAATTTCACAACTTCCTGGCCAGAAACACCAGAGAATTGAGTGTTTTGCAAAGGTAGCGCAACTAAGCGAAAAGCGCACCCATTGTCACTTAGACTTAATAACTGCTAATGAGCAACCAGAGCTACTACAACGTTGAAACAATGAGAATCGAAATTTAAGGCTACCGAACGTCCCCTTCAGAGGAATCCGAAACAGATTTGACCGCGAGGGTGTTGGCCCCAAGGGTAAAATATAAATACTCATGCGAAGTGTGTGGCGGCTTGAACTGCCGCACATTTGTGCAAAGTTCTATGTCGAAAACAGACAGACTCATGCGAAGAAGAGGAAATGAAAGTTTACAAGCAGTCGTGAAGCAAATCACATGATGAGAAGGTTCGTGTTTCAAGTCTATAAAAATGACCAATAGAGAAGTACATTGACAACCAGTCACGATAGTGATTGGCAGGAGACATCATTACATCATTCATGGAGAATTAAAATAGGTTCATTTTGTACTAAAACCCGTGCTGAAGATACTGTCGACCAGCTCAGAGAACAGAACTAATTCAATAGGAAGTCGTGGATGGCAGAGGAGATGTGCTGCTGAAGCCCTATGCTCCACTTGGAACTCCACGAGTAAATAATTGTAATAATGGTAATAATAACAATGTATCGCAACGAACAAGTGAAAAGAATGAATTAAACTCATGCATTCACTTAATAATCAATAATAATTTATTTCTTACCTGGTAGTGGTTTGCCTTCTTTAGCAGCTTCCAAGTGTTGATCTAAATTGACATCTCTATGAGGACTGAATGCGCTTAGATAGACTTTTTCATCTTCAATAGCTGGGATTGGATAACGTCCAGTTGCTAGTTCCACTAATGATAAGCCTAAACTCCATACATCACTCAGTGTATTGTACTGTTCACCGGTTAATCGTTCCGGTGCCATATAACTTCTTGTGCCAACAAATGAATTGGCCAGTGAATCAATCAACTGTCCACTAACACCAAAATCGCATAGTTTAACATCTCCAGTACGATTGACAAGGATATTTGACGGTTTTACGTCTCTAAAGAAGTTGCATTATATAATAATAACCGTAATAATAATAATGATAATAATGGTAATCATAATAATCATAATAATAATAATAATAATAATAGCAGTAGTACGAGAAATTATAAATGAAGTACTCACTTGCGTTTACTTTCGATACTACTCACAAACTAGTAGTATAAAAATATAGACGGATATTTCAATAACGTCAGAAAAATCATTCCCTAAAGTAGGAATAAACTACACTACGGAATGTAATTCTCAGTCATAAGAGAGAAAGAAAACATCCAACTGGGATGATAGATTGGAGATATTTATTAATCAGTTAGTGTTTTCAGATTAGCAAATTCTGTTTGAGTGAATCTCAACTCCATATAACACAATATAAATATTTGATTTTAACGAGTTGATCACAAATTGATATCAACTAGAGAATCATTGAAAACCAGCACTGGAGTACTGGACAACTGCTGTTCTATCCTAGTTTGGGAATCGTCGGCAGTACGCGCCCACCAAAGGAGGTTCGAACCCTGGACCTTCCGCTTACAAGGAAAGCTAGCTCCTATACCATTCAGCCACTGGGACCCGATTCAATGACCAGTCCATGAATTCTAACTTCTACCAATTCATGATTTAGCGCGACCCCGAATATTCCCAAACTAGGATGAAACAGCTGTTCAGTACTCCCTGGTTTTCCAATGGTTCTCTAACTGATGATATCAATCCGTGATCAACTCGTAAAAACAAAACTATTCCTTACAAACCAAACTATAGAAAATTAATCTGATGCTCGCTAATGACTTGCTACAAGGCGGAAATTCCTGGAGATCTGGTGAGAAGTCGTAACCAGTGAGGTCCACCCAGTCAAGTGTGAGGATGGATGTCCCACTGACGACATTGGTTAGTGGTCGCGCTAAATCGCGAATTGGTAGAAGTTAGAATTCATGGATTGGTCATTGAATCGGGTCACAGTGGCTGAAAGGTATAGGAGCTAGCTTTCCTTGTAAGCGGAAGGTCCTGGGTTCGAACCTCCTTTGTTGGGCGCGTACTGCCGATGATTCCCAAACTAGGATGGAACAGCAGTTGTCCAGTACTCCAGTGCTGGTTTTCAATGATTCTCTAGTTGATATCAATCCGTGATCAACTCGTTAAAATCAAATATTTATATTTATACTTATTATCACAACTGAAGTAAGTCAAACACTCACTAGCGGTCACCTTTGAGATGAATATCTCCATAAACTGTGAGAGAAAAGTCAAAATAAATAGAACCCAGAATATGGACCGTGGACGGAGGACCTCATCGATGTAGCGAGATCGTTCTAGCATTGTCTGACAGATACATAAAAGTGTAGTTATTTTCCGAACAATGCTCATATTGAAGTCTAACAGTTCAATCTTTCAGGCGATCATTTAGATATGTTGTCAGATAGTTTCAAAAAAGTTTACCACAGTTAAACAATGACCAGTGGTTTTCAATACTTTCCTCCCTAGTTTATGTCAGTTTGTGATGAAATTGTTTATTTGTCAAACATATCACATGTTCCAGGATTTCATCATGAACTGACATTAGTTAGAGAACCATTGGAAAACCTCAGAGTACTGGACAGCTGTTTCGTCCTAATTTGGGGCTCTTCATGGGCTATTGGTCCCAATGGCTTAATGGTCTACGAGATCGCCTTGTAACCAGAGGGTTTTGGGCTCGAACCCCGTGAGTGCGTACTGCCGAAGACTCCCAAACTATGACGAAACAGCTGTCCAATACTCAAAGGTCTTTCAATGGTTCTTTAACCAATGTCAGCTCATGACGAAATCCTGTAACCAATAAAATCCCTACAAACCAACACTTGAATATCACATGTTAAGTGGTAACATTAAGTTCATAGTTTTTCAATAGCCTATACACCCTAGAAGTCCAGTCGTTTGATGTTCAACATGAAGACAGTGAAGGTAGCTGTTGATGAAAGTCTGTAAGCCATTGGAAATGCATTTCATGACGCGCGTGTCAAAAATCTGACCAATACAGAAGCACTAACTGAATTACTTACATTGGTGCTGAAAATCCAAATTTCGTTCTTTATGCTGAATTCAAAGGAATCCTGAATTGATTTCAGAGTGGTAAACGTCTGTCTTGCCTTATCCGTTCCACCCGCAGTTGCAACTATTCTGCCTAGATAAGTGAAAGGAGTCACCTCCCTCTAATTCCTCTAGCTGATAATGTTTGGTGCTTGCTGTTGTTGTTGTTGGTTGGCTATTTTCACCACCTCCGTCTTCTTTGTGTTTACTTGAAGCCCTGCTAACGTCTTCAGCCACTTTATTGGTTTTCACCAGTCAGTTTCCTAGTTTGTGTAAAATTATACACAAGTCGTCGGCGAAATCCAAGTCTTCTAGAGTTTGCCTGTCATTCCAACATATTCCGGTCCTTCAGCTCCCCACTCACGGTATTCTGCACAATCCAGTCCAACACAATAATAATAACAATTTGCTTTATTCCAAAACAGTACTTGTGATACAGAATGGAATTCTCAGCATTTTACTACAGCATATTGCATCCAGTTAGTACATACATTATCAATAAATAAAACTCTACATAGATTAAGGAAATCTCAGTTCATTATGACAACAACATATTCATTCGCATGTCGGTAGCAAGCCAAAACTGAACAGACTGTGTGAAGGTGTTAGAAAAGTTAGATACTACTAGCATATTTACTGGCGTCGGTGGTAACAAAAGGTCGAGATATACAGAGTATGAGGAAACGAAGAATTTTCAAGTATTGGTTTTGTAGGGATTTTGTTTGATTGCATGGAGGATTTAATCATGAGCGAAGAATGTTTTAATAGAGTTGGTAAGGAAGAAAGAAACAAAGGAGCACATAACAGAAAAGTGAGAGAGAGAGAGAGAGAGAAAAGGAAAATAAAGAAAGAAAGAAACACGAGATCCAGTTGTTCTACTGACTATTTAATAAGTTATAGGCATCACGCCTAATGCTTTCCTTATCGCACAGAACACGAGCTAAGTAGGATATGGTTGAGTGAGTTTTTGTACTTACTAGTGCGAGCGTATAGTGTTCTATATAGGCTTCTGGTTTTCCCTGATGATGAGATACAAGGGGAGATTTGTGAGTGAAGAGGGTGGTGTGAGTTAGATAAAATGGATTTATCCCATTTTTCACATGAGTCCATTTGGCTGTCAACCAGGATATCAATAAGCTGGTTAAGTGGCACCCTGTGGCTTACCCTGTTGACAACCTTTAATATCCTGCGTGATAAGGTATAGTCTTTCTTCAGTAGCCAGCCCAGGAAAAACTAAGGGGGAACAATAGAGAATAATGGGCAGAATGCGAGAGTTAACGAATTGTAGGAGTAAGGGTTGGGTTATTCGAGAATGTCTTAACTTCTTTCTTGTTGTAGAAGGTAAGACGGAATATTTTCTTAGAAATCGTCAAGATATGAGACGACCAGGAAAGATCAGAAGATAGAATGACGCCTAGGTATTTAATTTCTGACTTGGTTTGTATTTCAGTGCCATCTATGTTGCACACCTCGTGAGTGAGTGCTAACCAGTTTATTTAAGTCGGATTTATCCTTCAGGGTGAAATTGACTGTTTGGCATTTGGAAGGGTTCAAGGTGAGACCGTTTTCCTTGGATCATTGACTGATTTCTGATTAAAAGCCAGTTAGTTTAGTGCAGTCACTTTGACATTTAATAGGCAAAGATACAGTTAGATCATCAGCATACTTGACAAAATTAGTGTCATTTGAAGATGGTAGGTCATATAGAAAGGAAGAGAAGCGGGGAGAGTACAGCACCTTGAGGGACACCAGCTCCAGTGAGCACAGCATTCTGTTTGAGAAGTAGGAATGCAAACAGTTAGTGACCCAGGACTCAGTTTGTGTCACAGAGAGCTGACTTAACAAGAGACATCTAGGTACAGGGTCCAAAGCAGAAGCGAAGTCGAGAAAACGTGCAGCGGACGTATTTGGCACCATTATCTAATGATGAGACGATACTGTTGTGTAAGACGGCTGCAGCGACTAAAGTGCTCCTGCCTTGTCTATCGGAATCTTCAAAGCTTTTAAGGGAGGGTTCGAGTTTAAGAAGTACTAGTTTTTCCATGAGCTTTAGAAACAGGGAAGTGATGGGAATGGGTATGAACTTTACGTTCTTGCTATTTCCAGGTTTAAGGACAGGGACTATTTTAATGTCTTTCCATGGAACAGGTGCAATGAAGAATATAATCACTGGTGATAGCAGGTAGACAGCCTTGGCTTACTCCTGTATTCACTATTCTGAGTAACTGTTAAGCTATAATCTTTTTTTCTGAACAGATCATCCCATCCACATTTCGACACAGAATATTGAAAGATTCTCATGGGACAATTGTGAAAAGTTACAATAAAATTGGTTATCAGCATCACTGAATTTGTACAATGAGCAACAAAAGACAGAAAGCCAGTGATGATATTGACTTTAAACACAAAACTGAAGTTAATCACTCCGACATATTGGTTAAGTCAAGTAACCTTCTTATTTTCATATAACACCCAAGGTTGCTTTGCATGTAACAAAAGTTAACCTGAAACAGACAGACAGACAGATAGAGAGAGAGAGAGAGACGAAAAAGCACGTAGCAGAATTCAGTTATGTTTAATGACATGATTGCTTAATTATTACGTAAATGTATTCTGTTAACTGAATGTTGACACGCATGATTATACTGATAATAAAGTTGTAATTATTTCACTCCAATTGTGCTAACACAGTTTCGATGGATTTACGAAAGAAAAAATAATTATCATCGTACCACCTACTCTTTGCAGACTTCATTTTATTTAACTCATGAGTTGTAGTCATTAGTGTGTTGAACTGCATGAAGTTACAGGGGGTATAACTCTCTCTACCTCTTTCTCAATAGTGAAGGCACTTGACTTTTAGTTACTGAGATGCAGGTTCCTGTTCAGTGCTCTTTACATAATATGCAACCAGTAATTAAATTTTGTGCGTCAGCG